ATGTCCGATGAAATTCTCTGTTTTGACTTGTGCTTATCGTTTTCGTATTTTTTGGGTTTAACAACTAACTTGCCTTTGCGTGTGTTTGTTCCACAGGTGGTGCAGGATACGCTCACCTTGCCAAATATGAAATTTTCACAGAACGAGCTGCTCGGAGATGCAGCACGTATTCTCGCGGTATGGCAGATTACAACTGTCTCAGATAATCCTGTTTTCCTAAACACACTCATAGATAATAGAAGCATTAAGCAGGGTTCAGGGAGAGGTTTATCCTGAAATGCAAAGTGTCTCACCTTACCTTCTCCAAGTGTTACCCTGTGAGTATGATCCTTGAAAAAAACACACGACGGATTAGGTAAAAGCAAGGGATTTTCCGACTAGGCACATACCATGAAAAAAAGGCTTCACTTTAAAGAGTAAAATGAAGACGCCGATAAAGCAGCCAAACTATCCCTGAAAATCCCAGAAATAAGCTTAAACTTACCCATCTCAAAATCAGAAATTAAAAGTGTAAACAAGCATTAAATCACAAAAATGGCATAACCTATATCTAAACTCAAATAGCCAAATCAAAAAAGTGCTCAGCAAACCACTAACCAAACCAAAAATTCTCCATCCATCAAAAGAAATCGACAGAGTGATCACTAAACTCCAAACAGGACACGCCAACCTAAATAACCACCTAAAACAAATTTAAAAAACACACTACAGGTAACTGCCCACACTGCAAACAACTAGAAACCCCAGAACACGCACTTATCCACTGCACACACATACCTAACACATCGAACCACATTACAAACCACCCTCAATCTAAACAAGGCTCTCACTCTAGAAGCAATACTAAACCCACAAAATAAACTAGACAACTTCAAGGCCTTAGGCGTATTCTTAATCAAAACGGAACTAATAAAACGCATCTAAAAACACAATAACCTACCAAATCAAAATCACATAAACAAACAAGCATCCACCACACCCAGCTCCCTTAGTTCTCCTCCCCAACCCCATCGGCTTCTATTCCAAATCTCAAAATTCCCAAATTCTATATAAGCAACCCCTAAAGCCCCCTCTTGGGTTGCACAGACCACTTTCGCCCCTTTCGGAAACACATTAAATGGCCTGGCCGGGCGCGTGTGCGAAATACGCATCAGTCGGAAAGCGCACGTTAAATCTCCAAAGTAAGTAAGTAAGTAAGTAAAGAGTATACTTCACTCCAACACATTTGGTGAAATTTTCTTGAGAAGATTCAGCGAAGTGCTCGACTTTAACAGACCAGGTTTCTTTGAGTTATCGTCCGACATCTGTGTTTAAAGTTGATTTTGACAGCCCGGGCCAAGTCGGACCGAACACTTCTGACATAGATTTTCTTAAGAAAATACAGTAAAAATGCTTCACTTTGAGCATCTTGTTTTCTTTAAATACGATGTACCGTGACATTATAAAGTGGTATATAGGTAGATATAACACTAATCCAAAGAAATAAACACATTTGAAGATACATCTGTGTGTTTAAAGTTGATTTTAACCGCCCGGGCCAAGTCGGACCCAACACAAGCCAAACACTTCTGATAGAGACTATGTTGAGAATGTAGAGGGAAAAGGGCTTCACTTTGAGCACCTTGTTTTGTTTAAATACGATGTACCGTGACATTATAAAGTGGTATATAGGTAGATATAACACTAATCTATAGATGCGAATCCATTTGATGATACATCTGTGAGGTTTAAGTTGATTTTGACAGCCCGGGCCAAGTCGGACCGAACACTTCCGACAGAGATTTTCTTAAGAAAATACAGTAAAAATGCTTCACTTCGAGCCCCTTGTTTACTTTAAATACGATGTACCGTGACATTATAAAGTGTTTTATAGGTAGATATAACACTAATCTATAGATGTAAACACATTTGAAGATACATATGTGTGTTTAAAGTTGATTTTGACCGCCCGGGCCAAGTCGGACTAAACACATGCCAAACACTTCTGATAGAGGCTATGTTGAGAATGTAGAGGAAAAAGGGCTTCACTTTGAGCACCTTGTTTCCTTTAGGTACAGCGATCTGAGACACTATAAAGTGGTATTTAGGTGGATATAATACTCATCTAAAGATGTGAATCCATTTGATGATATATCTGTGAGGTTTAAGATGATTTTGACAGCCCGGGCCAAGTCGGACCGAACACTTCTGACATAGATTTTCTTAAGAAAATACAGTAAAAATGCTTCACTTTGAGCCCCTTTTTTTTTTTGAATACGATGTACCGTGGCATTATAAAGTGGTATATAGGTAGATATAACACTAATCTATAGATGTAAACACATTTGAAGATACATCTGTGTGTTTAAAGTTGATATTGACCGCCCGGGCCAAGTCGGACCCAACACAAGCAAAACACTTCTGATAGAGAGAATGTAGAGGGAAAAGGGCTTCACTTTTGAGCACCGTGTTTGCTACTGCAATATGAGACACTTAAGTGTTATATAGGTAGATATGATATTATAATTAGTCTATAGATGTAAAGTATGTTTTGTATTTTTAGAAGCGCTTTGACAGTTATTAACACGTGTCGTGTCAGTCCTATGACATTCGCGAATATCCACTTGCAGAAAACATCCTGTGTTGGTTTAACATAAATTAGTAAAGGTTAATTAGGTATGCCAAACACGTTAATTAATGAAAGAAGAGTAGTTAAAACACTGTCATTTCGAATTCCTGCCCAGGACATCACACCCCTGCACGCTAAGGTCGGTGAGAAACCTTCTCATCAAAGTAAAGACACAGTCAAGACACTGACTTTTCGGTATGAACTCTCGGTATGTAGCTATAGTTATCAGTTCATAACATTGCTGAAGATGCATTTTGATTCAAACTCAATTAAATGAGCAAAACTATCCGTTTCTGGCCATTTGAGATCTGCCGAGATATGCATGTTTCGTTTTATTATTCTGCATTCCATTTTTAGTATTACCCGCTGGCCCGGCCCGGCCCGCCCCGACTTTTCTTGGCCCGACTTTTAGGCAGTCCCCCATTGTACATCACACCTAATCCAATTCTAAACCAATGTCCATCTGTCATAAGTATTGCTCAGCAATTAGACAATGTTTACAAACAATACAGTTTTGATGGAATCATATCGATTTTCCACTCTGCCGCATTCACAAGCATGAGGGCATGTTTGTCACGATCGTAAATTATATTACATGCATTATACTGTTTATCAAGTGCAATATACAATATGCCACGTGTAATATACAGTGTGTCCCGTAAAGTGTGCGCCGGGCGAACTCGGCGCTGGACAGAAGCACCCCCTACCACCCCCACCCACAATAAAATGTTGTGGACCCTCAGACGGACTTGTTATCAATTCAAGAAGTATCAAGTAGAACAACAGTTCTAGGGCGGATACTTGTATTTATCATATAATGGGTAGGTTTCTCGGGAGGATAATCCCACGGATAAAAACGATATCCGTTGGGGTCATATGCGGATAGAGATGCAAGTATCAAAGGTCAAGTAGGGACTACTTTCAGTGTTTATAAACAAACATGGCGTCGCCCTCGTCATTCGGCGATCGAGTCAGAATTAACCATCGGAAATCTGGAGAAACGTCTGGGATAATTGCTATCTTTATCCAAAGAACACAGTCTAATATACTGAAAATCATTGTCTAACTGTGACGTAGCTAAGGCATTTTATAAGTTAAGCAACTTTGGAGATATACATTTCGAAACAATTTTGCGAGGGCACGAGGCCTAGCCAAGCGGGATGAGTAGCCATATCTGTGCTTGTAGACCTCTGCGGCTTGGAACCTTTTCCACAAATTAAAACAGTTGGATTTGGCCGAAATATGATCGAATTGTTAACTTGTTTCGTTTTTCACTGTGTGTACATCTGACTGCACTTCTTAACGTTATGACAAGACAGACTGTCAACAACGTCCGACCGTGGCCGTGACGTCTCATAGACTAGGTAACTTCTTTGATAGGCATTTAGAAGTTGGAGTACTAAGTAAGGATAAGAATTTATGGATGAACAACTTCTTTATTACAATTAAGAGCGACGTTTCGGTGTAGGTTTCTAACACCGTTATCAAGCAAGTGATTTACAGAGTGCAGTAAGCAAGTATATATACAAGTAGGAGGCAATGTTTATACAGTAGACTAGATATTGTTATACTGGCGTAGAGAAGCCTGTTGTGTACACACAAGGGCAGTGATGACAATCATCGGTGAAGTCAGTGCCATGAACAAAGGATGAAGCCAGTAATGTAAACGACGGGATTATGGCTGATTGGGGTCTTTGATGAGTTGATGGTACGCCAGGGGTATGTAATAGCCTTGGTCACGGTTGATTGCGGGCTGAAGTATTTTGATGTTGATGGCTTCTTGTAGTTTCCTGATCTTGAAGTCTTTGAGGTTGGTGACGAGGGTTGTGACTCTCTACCACTGGATGCTGTGGCTTGGGTTGTCACGGATGTGGTCTGATAGAGCTGATTTAGAGTCATCTTTGGTGACTGAGCTTTGATGTTCTTTAATTCGGGTTTTGAGGGGCCTAGATGTTTCTCCTATGTAAGCTTGTCCACAATTGCACGGAATGTGGTACACCGCTCCTGATGGTTCTGGCTTGTGGCTGGATGGTGGTTTCCCTGTGGCTTTAATTGTGTTCTGAATAGTATGACTTCTTTTGAAGACTACATCAATGTTGGCCTGTTTCTTTAAGAGTCTCTGGATTTTGTGACTAACTATTCCAAAGTAGGGGAGGCTGATCACAAAGGGTGCAGACTGTGGACGTGGGGATTTCTGAGATTTCTTGGTGATATTCTTTATCGTCTGTTGTACTAGTTGCTCAGGATAGCAGTTATGCTGTGTAAATACTTGTTTGAGGTGGCTAAGTTGAGTAGTTAGATGTTGCTTCGTGGAACAGATGTTGTGAGCTCGTCTTGCTAGGGTTGACACAATTCCTTTTTTGACTTGAGGTGGATGGTTGGATGCATAGTGTTAGTATTGATCTGTGTGGGTGGGTTCTCGATAAACAGTGGTCTGGAGTTTGTCGTTTTTATCTTTCTGTACGAATACATCAAGGAAAGGGAGCTGTCGATTGGTTTCTTCCGCCATGGTAAACTGCATACGTGGGTTTTGGGAATTAAGGTGGTCCAATATAGTTCTGGGGTCATTGTTGGGATGTAGGATGGCAAAGGTATCATCAACTTTGCGGAACCAGCAGAGGGGAGTTATTGGGGATGTTTCCAGGGCTTTTTCTTCCAGGTGGGTCATAAATATCTCGGTGAACAAGGGTGATAGTGGGGATCCCATTGGGAGGCCGTGGGTTTGTTGATAGAATGTGTCTTTCCAGGTAAAGTATGTAGAGCTGATACAGGAGTGTATGAGTCGGATGATGCTGTCAGTTGTTAGGCGGGTGTCTAGGGATGGGAGGATTTCCTCAACGCGGGTTCTGATGATTTCCATGGCCTCGTCCCGGGGTACATTCGTGAATAGGTCGACAACGTCGTAGCTTATGAGGGTTCCTGGTTGGGGGATGTCGAGAATCTTCTTACAGAATTCTGACGAATCTTTCACAAAAGACTTGGCAGTCTTGCCAAGAGGTGCGAGGAGGCGGGCTAGGTGCTGGGCCGTATTGTAGTGGACGGTGTCTCTGGGGCAGACTAGGAGACGGGCTTTGACGGGGTCTTTGTGAATTTTTATGGTTGCCCGGGCATAAGGTGGTTTGGGGTGACTGGTGATGAGTTTTTTGTGGAGGGTGGGGCCGATTTCATTGCTGTCCCGAAGTTGGTTGAGGAAGTTCTTGTGCTCTTTCTGTAGGCTGTTGGTGGGGTCTTTCTTTAGCTGCTTGTAGGTTGATTGATCGTTGAGGATGTTGTCGGTTAAGGTGTTGAAGTGGGTAGTGTCCATGATGACAGTTGCCTTGCCTTTGTCTGCTGGGGCGATGATGATGACCGAGGTCCTTTGACAAAGGGCAGTTACTCTAGCGGAAAGACCGATGGATTGCCGCGAAAGGCAAGTAAAAACAATTGTTGTTTTGAGTATAAGTTGCTTCGCCACTGTGTAAGAAAGAGATTTCAGTTGGAACTATATTGGCTACTGTCACTGTCCGACTGACACATCACTTACCCTGTGACGTAATAAATATTAATGCGCGCATTCCAGGAAAACTCGCAATGTTTAGGTAATGTTTGTGAGTTAGGGGAAGCGATTTTCAAGCACAGAATTGAAGAATGATATTATATGATAAAGAGGTTATCACGCTTTTGTGTTTGGGGATGGTAAATATCCTGTATTAGGAATAAACAGTATGTATTTAGCTCGCCATGGCTCGTTAAATACAATGCTTATTCCTAATACATGATATTTACCATCCCCAAACACACTCGCGTGATAACCTCTATATATTCCAATAGTCAACATACCCTTATGTGGAGTAATATTCCAGCAGCTACGTTACAGCTGCTACGGAAGGGCGTCGTAAGACTCTTTGTCCAAAATTGTTTGATCAGGGTCCCAACATTGAAGGCCTCGATTGTAAAGTTTTATGGTATACATGTGCAGGACATTTCCAAATTTGACGCAAAATCATATCCGATGCAATTCCCTATTCTGACATATTTCCATGTGTTTTCAGATTGAATCTGGTTTGCCTTAGCATGCTTTTGTGACGGGTTGCCACCGACAGGGCAGGATACGCTCACCTTTTCGAGAACACCTGGTAGCATCACTATGGTGATTAATAACAAGAGCATTATTAACATATAGTCGGAATAGATAGAGGATATTTCATGTGTCGAGTGAAATATCATGTTTCTCTTACTGAGTGACTCGCCACTCCAACCCCTGTAAGTACGACTAAAAATGTAGTTCCGTCTTTGCTAAATCTTAAAAAATATAAACAAAAGTAACCAAAAATATTTGATGTCACTAAAATTCTTTAATATACATTTGGATATGATTACAGTAAACTACGGTTATAACGAACTCGAAGGGACCACTAATTTTAGTTCGTTATATCCGTAGTTCGTTATAAAAAGATATACAGCATATATACAACAAAAGGCCGGGACTAAAAAATAAGTTGGTTATATTGGTCAGTTTGTTATAAGCGTGTTCGTTATAACCATAGTTTACTGTATATACAAAATCAACTTCATCAAAAAATAAATTTCAAATCAATGAGACGGTTAACGTTGTTCGAAGCGAAAGAATACACGCAATTCAAGTAACAAAATGGAGCTTTGCGAAACGTAAAGTATCAACTGACAAATCAGAAGAGAAATTCACAGTTTAATACAAATCATTTTCAACAAAATAACAAACGGTAAGAATCGGTATTAACTACATAAATGACCATCTGTCTATGACTTGTCAACGTTGAACTGACGTAAATCAACAGTTTGTGTACGAGCTGTCTCGTGTAGGCTAACATAGTACGGTCAACGTGTTATGTTCACTGCAGTGAAATATCAGGTGTTATGTTCACTGCAGTGAAATATCAGGTGTTATGTTCACTGCAATGAAATATCAGGTGTTATGTTCACTGCAGTGAAATATCAGGTGTTATGTTCACTGCAGTGAAATATCAGGTGTTATGTTCACTGCAATGAAAATAACACTTTTCTCAACTTCAGAAAACTCAGTCTTTCACACTGAAGTATATAATAAAACAATAGACTCTGCTTTCAGCAGTGATTCCTTGTGAATATGGAAATGGTTTTGTCGCGACATTCAAAATTAACACATTCATTTGGTATGACTTTCGCACCTACTCTTGTGTATTTCTGCACTGCTTTTTGAATGTGGGTCGGTTATCTAAGCCTGTGGTAGGTACCCAGAACCAATTGCTATTATCTGTCGCCTCCCTTTTATAGCCTATTGAAAACACAGGCTGTTGGTGACTCAGGCCCGAGCAATTAGACTGAACTGAAACCGATGTTACGAGGTGATTTCCCTAATTGAAAGTCCAATCCTGAAATCTGTGGGTAAAGAACTAAACTGTGAAATCTGTAAATGGCCAAGAACAATGAGCAATTAACACATAACATGCAACACAGTTTTAGGTTTACACTTAATAAAGACTATAAAATGGGTCATATACAAGCACTCACGCACCCATACCCACACCCACACCCACACCCACACCCAAACCCACACCCACACCCACACCCACACCCACACCAACACCAACACCAACACCCACACCCACACCCACACCAAAACCCACACCCACACCCAAACCCACACCCACACCCACACCCACACCCAAACCCACACCCACACCCAAACCCACACCCAAACCCAAACCCACACCCAAACCCACACCCAAACCCACACCCAAACCCACACCCACACCCACACCCAAACCCACACCCACACCCACACCCACACCAACACCCAAACCCACACCCGAACCCACACCCACACCAAAACCCATACCCACACCCACACCCACACCAACACCCACACCCACACCCAAACACAAACCCACACCCACACCCACACCCAAACCAACACCCAAACCCACACCCACACCCACACCCACACCAACACCCAAACCCAAACCCACACCCACACCCACACCCACACCAACACCCAAACCCACACCCAAACCCACACCAACACCCAAACCCAAACCAAAACCCACACCAAAACCCACACCCACACCCACACCCAAACCCACACCCAAACCCACACCAACACCCACACCCACACCCACACCCACACCCACACCAACACCCACACCCACACCCACACCCACACCCAAACCCACACCCAAACCCACACCCACACCAACACCCACACCCACACCCACACCCACACCCACACCCACACCCAAACCCACACCCAAACCCACACCCACACCCACTCCCACAATACACAGCTACACCCACACCCACACCCACACCCACACCCACACCCAAACCCACACCCAAACCCACACCCACTCCCACAATACACACCCACACCCACACCCACACCCAAACCCACACCCAAACCCAAACCCACACCCAAACCCACACCCAAACCCACACCCAAACCCACACCCACACCCACACCCACACCCACACCCACTCCCACAATACACACCCACACCCAAACCCACACCCACACCCAAACCCACACCCAAACCCACACCCAAACCCACACCCAAACCCACACCCAAACCCACTCCCACAATACACACCCACACCCAAACCCACACCCACACCCATACCCACACCCAAACCCACACCCAAACCCACACCCAAACCCACACCCACACCCACACCCACACCCACACCCACTCCCACAATACACACCCACACCCAAACCCACACCCACTCCCACTCCCACTCCCACACCCACACCCACTCCCACACCCACTCCCACACCCACACCCACACCCACACCCACACCCACTCCCAAAAACACCCCTCCCACTGTACAGAGCGCTCATCCGCTCTATATCTATGGTGGTGCTTGTAAAGTGAATTTGAAAAAAATTCATCAAGGTCTGAGGCTTTGCCTTTGGGCCTTCAGAACTTCTCCGATGGATTGTCTGTATGTGGAGGCTGATGAACCGTCACTTAAATGTCGCATAAAGTTATCGTTACATTACATTTCTCAACTGCATTCTACTGAATCCAATCCAGCCTATGACTGTGTTTTCTACCCCCCACCCCCCACCCCCTATCAGAGCGTGACACCGCACTAGAGCGTGCGACCTGGTTTGATGAATGCAGGGTGTGTGTTGAAAGTACAAGTAGCACTATAGAGACGGGTTGAGTCAACATGATATACGCCGGGTAATGTAGGAATAATAAATGTACGTCTAGCTGGATCAAATTCATCTTGTACGGTCTACAAGTTGTACACCATGAACGTTAGACAACCTGTATAGAAAAAAATATAGACAAAATAGATAAGACTACACAATCAGCAAGCTAGCAGTGTAGTTTACATTTAGCGCGCAAGAATGAGCTAATGTATAGCAGAGAGACTAAGCGACCGACCGCCCATAACAATGTCAACATACCCCGGCCTTACAATAATGTTAACATAACAGCCTCGCCTGAAGCTTCCCATTCATAAATTGTGTGACCAGTGTCCCGTATTTATTATATGTTAGGGAACATGTGTTGTACATTTGTTATTTTAAAAGGGAGTTATTTCAGAGAGTATATATATGGGTATTCTCCTCATTAAACCTTTCTTTCGTTGGTGTCTATTAAACGTATCCGGTATTTAAAACATTTGAATGATGTAGGAAAGTATGTGCTTGTAGATGTTGTACCTATATCCGAACACGAATGTATGACACCTTTCAATAGATCGTGGTTCTAACCACGACACGCAACATGACTATGAGCGTGGTTAGCAGTTCATATTTATAAACACATCGTAAATGACAGATTTCTGATGAATGAACTCGCCCGCACACATGTCTATAGGGTTATGATCGCCCGAACTGTAAACAGTGACACATTGATAACAGACAGGAAGGGTGTGTAAGGGTAAAATACGCGTTTAAACTCACCATTTAAATGATGACATTACTTTTTAGATGTATTGGTATCAGTGAGTGAGGGATCGAAGACAACACCCAACCCGTGAAAATACAACATGTGTCGGAGGTGAAGGCTGTGGTGGAACGGGCATTTGCTGCCTTGAAGCGTCAACAGAGTCAAGGGTATAAAAGAAAGCTTCATACCCTCTAATCGCACACCGTATTGGATCACCATGGGGGTTGCCACCTGTCCGGACTGTGAAAAAATGTTTTCAAGGAGAGATGTCATGTTACGACACAGGAGAAATAAACATAGCATACCGCCGCCGTTACAAGCCCACCCGCCGCCGCAAGTCCACTCGCCATTACAAGACCACCCGCTAACGCCGCCGCCGCCGCAAGTCCACCCACCGTCGCC